GGACCCAGAGGGGACAAGTGTAAGACATCCAGCACATCCAGCATCCTGAAATTATAGTAAATAGTATATATAGCAGGGTCAACAAACATTTTCTGTAAAAGGCACAATAAAACATATTTTAGGTTTGTGAACCACATACAGTCTCTGTCCTATATTCTTCTTTTTCAATTTTTACAAACCTTTTAAAATGTAAAAAGCAGTCTTAGCTTGTGAGCTTGAAAAATAAGATGTGGGCTTGATACACCCTAGGGGTGCAGTTTGCTGACCCCCTAACATGTATCAGTTTTGTGTGTTTTTAAAATGTTTACATCATGTATACTATACTTTATTTCTTTTCCAATGCTATATGGTATCATGTATACTATACTTTATTTCTTTTCTAATGCCATGTATCTCAAACTTACTGGCTTATTAGGACACTAATTTGTGATTCACACAGTTCCATTGGTCAAAATTCCAGGTGGGATCATAAATGATTACTTTGGTAGGAGCTATTGATGTCTTTGTTAGTGTGTTATACTAACTTGGCTTTACTGGTGAAAATCTAGTAGACATATTTTTATCCATGGGACTTCCCAGTAGTAGTCCTCAGATTATATCCAGTGATGTCAACTGACTGAGCCCAGCCACATAGCTGAATCTAGTCATTGTCATGAATGAAGATGTTGCAGCAATATGAGGAAGGATATCCCCTAGTCATAGGAGTACCACTCACTGACACAGAACTGGTATAATATGATTCTTTCCCTGCGTGACTTACAGCCAGTGATAGAAAAAACCTTTTTCTCTGAGCTGAAAATAACCAAATAGATGTTAACAGAGAAGCAAAAGGGAATGTTTGCTCCTTGATTAAGACTGTAGAGGACCCATAAAGTGGTGAGGATGCACTGACTAAAACTGGATTGAACAGAAAGGATGTTTTTAATCTCATGAAGTTCTGAGGTGGGGTGGGCTTCAGCGTAGGTTGATTCGACAGCTTGACCATATCATCAAAGACCCAAGTTCCTGCCCCCCTTCACTCTGCCATTCTCAGTATTCCTCAGCCTTCAACAAAATGTCTGGAGTAGTTCCAGTCATCATGTTCAGGCAGAAAAGACTTCAGACATAAGAAACTGCCTCTGTTTTACAAGAAAACAAACTTTCTCTAGAACACGCCTTCCCCCAGAAGAATTCTTTCCATATCTTGTTGGTGAAACTTGAGTTGTATGCCAATTTCTGCACGAACTAATGGTAGAGAAAGTGATATCACCATTACATGAATAAGGTTCATTTATATAATTTTGTACCTGGCTGCTTGGGCGAAAGGGTGAGCATCTGAACAAAATTAGGGATTTGCTATAGAAAAACTAGGGCTGGAGAAATAGGGTGGGAAGAGAGCAAGCTGGGGAGGCAAAGAACAGTTCCCATTGTATCCTGACAGTTCATATCCTTTCAAATATATTAAAAGATAGCCATAGCCCACATTAAATATAATTTCTGCATAACTGTAAAAGCTGAGGTGCAGTCATGTAGGTAATGTAACTTTATGCTTCGAAGGCATTTAATTAATCATTTTTTACTTTGATTTTACAGGTTTCTTTTCATATTTTGGAGTCAATAAATCTTTCATCAGGTCTCAAACATTTAAAAGGCCCTTGCAAAACTGGTAGACCGTGCACCCCATACCTGTTGGAATTTACTTTCTAGCTGGAGGTAGAATAATGAGGCCAGGACTCCTGTCATTTGTAGGTGAAATATATCATCATCTATCCATGATACGATTTCAAGTTCACAGAGAAGGGCCATTTCCTTGTCCACAGGACCAAACCTTTTTATCACAAAATTCATGATAAAGCTCAAAATGCAAAATGTTTGAGATAATACTGCAAGTTTCATTAAAACCATTTTGGTGGCTTTTAAAGGTGGGACGAGAGCAAGAGCAGTAGACACTACAGATGTAAGCAAAAGGAGCCTGGGACACTAAAAACCAAATTCTCTTGAGCTGCTACTCTCTAGCGGCCTGTCTTACATCAAATATATTGTATTCATCAATTCCACAAATATATATTGAGCACTGCTATGTGGCAACATACTTGAAGGGCTCAGTAAAGGATTTTTTAAAGAAAACAGGTAGTCAAAAGTTCTTTTGCCTAAGGAGGCTGCCATTTTAGAAGGCAAGTATGAGAGTGGGGGATATATAGGTATGAATTTATAGTGATGGATTTAAAATATCAGGGTATTCCTTAGATAATTTAATGTCCAAGTCAAATTAAATTTTTAAAAATAGATCTGGGGATCTTGCTATGTTGTTCAGACTGGTCCTGAACTCTTGGTCTCAAGGGAAACTGCCACCTCAGCCTCTCAAAGTGCTGGGATTATAGGTGTGAGCCATGGGCCCAGCCTAAATCCCAGCTTTTTGGTATACATTTCTGTTTAGTAAATAGGTCTTGTTTTTGGCTTGTAACACCTTCTACTTTGTACAACTGGTACTTTTACACCTATCTATGTCTCCCACACTAATACAGTAACTCTTGGAGGACAAGTAATATGCTTTTCTTTTCTTATCTTTTTTATTTTTTTGAGACAGCATTTTATTCTGTCACCCAAGCTGAAATGCAGTGGTGCAATCACAGCTCACTACAGCCTCGACTTCCTGGGCTCACGTGATGCTCCCACCTCAGTCTCCTGTGTAACTAAGACTACAGGCATGCACCACCACACCTGGCTAGTTTTTTGTATTTTTCGAAGAGATGTGGTTTTTGCCATATTGCCCAGGCTGGGCTTGAACTCCAGAGCTCAAGCAATCCACCTGCCTCAGCCTCCCAAAATGCTGGGTTTACAAGGCGTGAGCCACTGTGTCCGGCCAGGCCTATGTTTTTCATATATTTCATCTCCATAATGCCTAGAATAGTACCCTGCACAGATATATCATTAAGCCTGTGTTAAGTGCACATACACTAACATGATACCAGGCTCTCAAAACAAACCAAAACAAAACAACCAAAAGCAAACCTAACACTTTTTATTGCTCCCTCTGTACAGATTTCTTAGGAAACTGAATTGACATTAAAGAGCACTTGGCTTTATTTTTAACTCTCTAGCTGTTATCATTTGAACATGTAGGTTTTTCTCTCCCGGAGCAGAGCTTTTGAGATCAATAAGGTGAAATTCATTGTTGAGTATAAAGCACAACAACATCATGGAGCAAGAAGTTTAAGTGGAAGAGCATCTTCACTTGAAGCTGTGCATGCTCCAGATTGTCCCTCCCTCTTTTTTTCTCTAGCTTTGTATGTAAAAATTGTTACAGCAGTTTGCTGCACTGAGCTAGAATCAATTTAAAGCAGATTTTACATATTTATTTTAAAATGGCCTGTAATGTATTTTAGAGTCAGTATTGATTCCACTTGTCTTTGTGATTGCATCTGTGATGAGTGTTTTTGTTATGGCGCAATTGCGAGGTAAAGTAATAGGCTCTGAGATTCTATCAGTGCCTACTCTTTTTATGTTGCAATTGCTTGATAATAATTCGATTGTATCTCTGCCTGATGTTTTAATACTAGCATCTTCCAGATTGCTCTTGCTGGGGAGGTATTTACTCCAATATGTTGTTAAACCCTAATAAGAATAAACAAAGCAGGGAAACATGTGGTTGCACACAATTCTTTTTGTTTGTTTGGGCTGACACTATGGCTTAGGCTGACTTTTACCACATGCTCTAGTTATCTACTTTTACCACATGCTCTAGTTATCTACTGCTGCATAAACACCCCTAAAAGTTAGTGGCATAAAACAACAGCCATTTTATTATGTTCATGGATATTATGGGATATTCATGGGTCAGGGGTTTATTCAGGGCAGGGAAAGGATTGCTTGTCTCAGCTTTATGAGATTGGGACCTCTACTAGGAAGACTCAAAGAATAGGGGTGAGTGGGCAATGCTAATAGCTGTGAGCTAGAATCATCTAGATGCTTCTTCAATCATGTGTCTGGTTTGTGGGTTGGGATGACCTGAAAACTAGTCTCCACTGGAACTCAGTCCACTGAAGTGCCTGGCATGTGGCCTCCTTCTGTGGCTTGGGCTTCCTAAGGTGGACTTAGGATAGTTGCACTTCTTACATTTGGGCTTCAAGAGTGAGTGTTCCAATCAACAAGGTGGAAGCTGCAGGACTCTTTCTGACCTAGTCTCAGAAATCATGCAACATCACTTTCGTTGCATTCTCTTTGTCGCAAGTGAGTCACTAAATCGACCCAAATCCAACGAGAGGGGACTTAGACCCCACCTCTCATAGGAATATCAAAGAAATTTGTTGCCATCTTTAAAATCTTTACAATCGATGTTTTATTCTTTTGTCAAAAATGTTTTCTATTAAATTAAAGGATTGATTGGTTAAGAGGAACATTCATTAGGTACCTATTAAAATATGGAAAGCACAGTAAGAAATAAGGTAAAAGAAAAAAACTTTTTCTTACAAAGGATTCTGCAATTTAATCATAAATATGGTATGCAAATATATTTAAAAACAACATATATACAAAGTAAAGTATCAAAGAGTGCAAATCATTATGCTCTAGAACTTTGCTGTAATAGTTGTAGAATTTTTATAATATGCAAATATTTTGGATCTTGTCCAAGAGAATATATCTAATATAACTACTAACAGCAGCACATGTTACCCAAGCAATTTTTGCAAAGCTAAAGTCTGTGAAAGGAGGAATAAGATGAACATAAATGTTAGGGGTAGAAGGAGCTTTAGAGATAATTTATTCCAACTCTTTCAATATGTAGATGAGGAAATGAAGACCCAAAATGTAACATCACGGATAGTCCAGGAAGGGAGAAAGAGTATGAGCTTATTTTTCTGGGTACCCTTAAGCATGGAAAACATAACTTCTTTGAGTCTCATTTAAAAATTAAATTCTACAGTCTGATTCTGTTAGCTTAGGCTGTTATGCTTAAGTAACAAATTACCCCCAAATCTCAGTGGTTTACAACCAACGTTTATTTCTTGCTTATGCTACAGGTCCGTGGTGGATCAGCTATGTCTGTCTTTCATGATCTCTTTACTCTAGGGCCAGGCTGACTGAGCAGCTCCTATCTGGGACATTATTGATGCCTGGGTAAAGAGATTATCGTGAAGCAAATACTGGCTGTTAAGGCTTCGGCTTGAAGTCATGGGCTAATCCTGACTGACATCAAAGGAGTGGAACGTAGAATCTTCTCTGGAGGAATGGGTTCCCTGCAGGGAGGGGCAGCAAGTATTTTGAATAAAAGTACAATCCAACATCGTAATGCATATAAAAGCACTTACTGAACAGTAGAACTCCATGTGAATGCAAGTTCTTCTTCATCTGCCCAAAGTCTACCAGCCAATCAGTGTTGAACCTGAGACTACAACTCCAGGTGGCTCTAAACCCAGCCCAGTGTTTTCTCCTTCTCTGTAGTGATTCACTGACACCTTTCCTTCCACATTTTAATGCTCAATAAAACATTAATTTTAGAATTACCAATCAACATATTCCCTTTGCCAGATATAGGAACAAATTTTTCTAAGAATAAACCTCTCTTGCTGTCTCTCTCCTTCCTTTCACTCTCTCTATATATTTGATAAGAATTGTTTTAAAGAGTCTGCAGCTTTCAGTTTGATTGATAGTTTTATACTACACGCTAGAAAGCCTTGTCACGTGTGTCTTAAATCAGCCATTTCAACCTTAGGTGTTTTATTTGTGGAGAGAAGACTTCCATCATGAACATTTTTTTTTTTCTGACAGAATATGTCCTTAAAAATATGTAAATTCCATTACTAGCTTTATTGCTCTCCCATAATTTCCTTATTTGCCTCTGAATTATGCTTAGAAAGGCAAGATGGATAATATAAGCTTTCCAATGTTTTATGAAAGATTTAGATGCAGACTCTTTGTAAACCACTACTCCCAAGCTCTTCTCTTTCCACTAATACAGGCATTAGAGCCCAGGAAACTCACTTGCTGTAGAAGCTGATCTGCAGAATCAATAGGATTGCTTGCCAGACTAAAAGAGCTATGATGTTTTGATCCCCACAGCTTTTTTTTTTTTTGATAGCCTTTTATGTAGCAGCACCAGTTGCTTCCAGACTTAATATACTTTTTCCAGTGGGGTTTTGATACAAGCCTCCACCATGCTCTTGTTTTAGTTTTTGCAGAATTGCAGGAGTAGAGTTGACATGTTCTTTCAGGGGGATGGAAAATTGAGTTCTGTCTTTTAGCTATGGATTGTTCAATAGGTTGCAATACAGTTGTTATACCACTAGCCCAATGAAGACCTTCGTGCAGTAATTTTTGGGTATATTTTACAAAGCAAACATAAATCCAATGAACCTTAATCATGGCCAAAAGCCAAACTGAAAAAAAAAACCCTTTAAAGTGTAGATTAAAAAACTATTGTAGCATTTATTTCATACAGGTCAATGAATTATAACAGTGAGGAGTATTAATTTCAAATAGCCCAACCCCTAACTTCCTGCCTCCAAGGGGAAGTCCTGTGTAATTTGCCATTATTTTTACAAGGTGAAAAAGCAATGACTAAAGTAACAGGACATTTCCTGGCTGAAAAATAGTAATAGAGTCTCTATTGAGCCATTCTATCATTAGCTTTTACCTCAGTTCAAACTTCAAAATGTTTTCCCACATGCTTATTTATTTGACATGTGGGAATAAATTTGAAGTGATAGCCTAAGCTTTTACAGTAAGTAAAATCCTTTGCAGTTGACATGCAGTACCATTCATAAAAGCTATTAACTGACTAATTACACACTGTAGCAGTCCAGACCCAAATTTACATACATCAAGATTAATAGTTTGCAGGAGCCTAGGAAACCATTACTGTAACAATTTTACTGTATCCTTGCAGGTAAATGAAGACCAAAATGTTTCACAATTCTGTGATATGAGCCAGAGTACATATTTATTTTTAAAAATTCCAGGAGATATAAAGTTAATATTTGAATATTACAGCAAACATTAATCTCATTGAAAATTAGTGGACATTTTTAGACAATCACTGGCATGTATGAGAAATTTATATTTGATCTAAGCTGTTTATGGTTATTTGGTTTCTGTCTTATATTGTCTAGGAGGAAAGAAACAGAAATGACAACAATTTTAATTTTTCCTCTTATGCTTATAAAAGAATGGTCTTCTGGCATGGTTCCTCATATTCTTTACTCAGTTTGCAAATATCAGCCTGAGTTTACAGTACTTAGAAGATGGAAAATTAGGGAAGTACCTCTAATTCTGTGCTTTTGGATTGATTTTACATAGGTCCCCAATAAGAGAGCACTTTACCTCTACCTGTATGTATAATTATATACTATTCATAGGTATTATAATTATACACATATAATTCATATGTATTATACACATAATAGTCATATGTATTATAATTATACACACATGAATAATGTATAATTAGACATACAGGTAGTGTTAAAGTGCTCAAAGTGTAAAAAGAGTTTCCCCAGATTTTCAAATCATGGAATGCGCTAGCAGCCATACATAGGCAGTTTTTCTAGTGTGCACATTTTCCAGAATATACCATAGTATATATAAGCAGGGAAGAATTTAAAATAAAGAAAAAGAACAGAGGTGCGATACTGTAACAACAACAACAACAGCAGCAGCAACAAAAACGCCACAAAATTTCAGTGACACAGTGATTGGCCAGGGCTGCTCTGCTCAGCTCAGCTGGGACTGCCTGGGCTTGCCTGCTGGCTGCAGGCTCCATTCAGGTGTGATCCATGCTGCTATCAATCTTCTGGGGCCAGTGGGCCGCCTAGGACTTGTTCTTCTCATGGTGGTGGCACAAGCCCAAGTGCACCAGCCTCTGCATACGTCATGTTTGCTAGTGTCCCATTGACTAAATAAATCACGTCACCAAGTGCAGAGTCTCCCATGGAGGTAGAGAAAAGGGAGTGAATATTTGCTGAACAATGATCTGATCTACCACAAATGATCTTTAATGTATTGTCCTTTTATTGCATGGTAGGAGCTGGCTTGATACCTTGTTGTTTAGATGAGACAGGAGAGATAGGGAGTGACTTGTAGGTTGTAACGTTTATAAAGGTAGGATGTTAAGAGCCATGATAATAATAACAGTAGAAGCAGCATACATGCTGACTATGTATTAGAGATTATGCTAATCACTTTACAGAAATTTATCTGTTTAATCCTCACAGTAGCTCTATGAAGTAAATGCTGTTATCTCAGTTTTTAGCTGAGGAATCTGGCGCACATAGCTATTTGGTGGCTTGCCCAGGGTTACATGACTCTAGTAAGTTGTGGAGCAGAGGCTTAAGTCCTGGCAGTCCCCAGGGCTCCAGAGTTCATTCCAGAGACTGTGTTACTACTACCTCTCTTCTTCAGTTATTTTATAGGCTAAGGGCTGACCTAATTTACATTTTAAAAGGTCATTCTAGATATCTTTGCTAGAAAGTATAGGGGACAGAGTGGAAGTGATAATATCTATTAGAACAGCGTTATTCAGAGTGTGATCCATAGACTGCTCCAGGACCACAGACTATTTATTACCAGCCCATGGCAAAGTAAGTACAGGAATTGAGAAGAAGCCTTTAGAAACTTTACGGCAAGTTTGACATTGTTGTACAACCCAAGTGCACAATTAGTTTCCTAATAACCTGTTTTAATTGTATGTTACAAAGTGCTCATTCATAATGGACTGAAAATAAGACACAAAAAGCAAAAATGAAAACCAACTGTCCCTTCATTATAGATAACTTGAAAAATGATGAGTAGAAGGTGGCTGAACTAAATCCAGGCAAGCGTTCACTGATCTTGGCTTCAACTAGGGTGGTGCTTGTGGAAATAGAAAGAAGTGGCTGAATTTGCCAAAAATTTTAAGGGCCACTCAGTCTTAATACCTGTGTCTCACAGAGATTAACAAGGAGGGGAGGAAGATTGTTAGGTAAGTTTAAAAGAAGTATTCCAAGATACTCCTTTCCCACTAGTTAGTCAGGGACTATATGCTGTTTCCTATGGTGATTTAAAGGCAAAATCACAGAGGAATACACTTCCAAGTGAAACCCAGGAAATATAGAAATTTAGAGAAAACTTTTAGTGATTTCCAGGATAGATACCACATTCGTTTACTACGTTATTTTTATTATTATTTTTTGAGACAGAGTCTCACTCCGTTGCCCAGGCTGGAGTGCAGCGGCATGATCTTGGCTCACGGCAATCTGCACTTCCCAGGACCAACTTATTCTCCTACCTCAGCCTCCCGAGTAGCTGGGATTACAGGTATACCACCATGCCCAGCTCATTTTTGTATTTTTAATAGAGATGGGTTTCACCATGTTAGCCAGGCTGGTCTTGAACTCCTGACCTTAGATGATCCACCCGCTTTGGCCTCCAAAGTGCTGTGATTACAGGTGTTTACTGTTTTGAAGTAACCAACTCATCTGGATTTGTGAAGGCCTTTCCCACTTTTAGCACTGGAAGTTATATGTCCTAAAAGTCCCTGCAAGTCCCAGGCAAACCAAGGTGCTTGCTAGTTCTCTATTTTGTATTGTAGTAGGGTCAGTTTTCCCAGTGCTGCTCATACTGGTTCCCATCTTCTTCCATTTTGCCAACACCCATCTGGTGAGGGTGTTGTATTCCTGGAATAATGACATGTAGGAGTATGATATAGAGAAAAGGCCAGAAGGAATAGAGAATTTGAATGAGGCCTTATTGGAAGAGATTTCTTAAGTGATAAAGAAATAAGAAATATGAATAAAATGTGATGCTAATTATTTATACATCTCCTAGAATTTTTTTCTGTAACCTGTAACTTCTCACAATGTTTTTTTACTTAGCTTTGCTGACTATTTTTCCATGGGGTAGAGGAAGCAGTAAGGGAAGCTGCTATATCCTGGCCAGTAGGGAAGAAGTAGTTGGGAGCATGAGAATGTCAGAAACTTTAGGAGCATGTCACAGATTCATCTTAGGGAGCATAAAAGTGAAGGGATAGAACATTATGTCAGAGACCCATTAGCCTCCCTACCCCCAATAATGTTGATTTCAACCTTTGAGAATATTGGTAGTGAGAATTCCACAACCAGAGAGGTAAATAGAAATCCAGATCAAGGGAGACAGTAGATTTTTTTAAAAAATGAAATTCATACATTGTAATGAAAAAAGTGGGCAAAGCACCTGCTTATGCAAACTTAAGTTTTTGATTAGGAAGCTGAGTCTTGAGTCCTCCTATCTACAGCAGAAAGTGTATTTGGAGCTTCCATCCCACCAGTCGGTTGTGTCTAGTGTGGATAGTGCAGTTGGTGGCTCATTAGTGAGTGGGATTCAGTTGACTCCTTGATGCCAGGTGCCAGGGTATTATCTGAATCATTAATTCTGTCATATCCATTTAACAGTTTTGTTTTTAACTTAGGAGACTTAGGAAGTAATAAAGTTATCAGAAGACATATTCAGAGAGAGAGGTAATATGCAACATTGCAGAATCAGGAATTCAAGGGCATCTCAATGGAATCTACTAATGGACCAAAACAAATAAGATAAATCCTAACAAAGATCAATTTAAAGTCCAGCATTTGGAGGTAAATAAAACCAATTGTTCAAGCACAGAATGAGGTAAATCAGGCTTGAAAGCAAATTATGTGAAAAAGACTTGAGGGTTTTAGTTGATTATAAGATCAATATGAGCCAACAGTGTAATGTTCCTTCTAAAAACCAAAAAAAATCTCAAATGCAGTCTTTGATTATGTTTGTAGAAAACAGTCATAGATGTATAGTAAGGATGGTAGGCACAGGGTGCTTTGCACTATGAGGAGAATGTATTCAGTATTTTTTTGTCTCAAATATTTTATTTAGTTGAGGTTGTCACATTTTAAGAGAAGCATTGACAAAGAAGCAAAATGTTGAGGATATCAGAAAATATTTGATATGGTTTGGACCTGTGCCCTGCCCAAATCTCTTGCCAAATTATAATCCCCAGTGTTGGCGGTGGGGCCTGGTGGGATATGATGGGATCATGGGGGTGATCCTTCATGAATGGCTTAGCACCATCCCATTGGTGCTGTTCCTGTGATGGTGAATGAATGTGTTATTGTGAGATCTGATTGTTTAAAAGTGTGTGGCACCTCTCACCTCTCTCTCAGTCCTGTTCCCACCTTGAATAAGATGCCTGATCTCACTTTGCCTTCTGCCATTAGGAAAAGTTCCCTGAGGCCTCTCCTGAAGCAGAAGCTAGTATGCTTCCTAAACAGCCTGCAGAACCGTGATTCAATTAAACCTCTTTTCTT